TTATTGGTTAGATAAGGGATAACTACTTTGTTGTTTAGCAACACAGCAGTCTGAAAAAATTCCTTAAGAAAACGAATATAATAGAATAGCATAAATGATACTAATTTAATAGTAGAATTGGAAAAGGACGGTATGCTACCATTTCTGGGTGTCCTAGCTAATAAGGAAAACAAGTATATTATGTATCTGAATAAAGGACTCACAAATGCAAAGATGTTTTTTAAATTATTGTCTAGCGATACTTATGTAGTATGGGCTGTGAAAAGAGTGAGAATAAAAAGTACGAGTCTAGCAGATCGAGAAATGGAAAAGGTGGGAAAAAATTAAGTTAGAGCAGTCAGTCTTGATTATTAAGCGTTAACAATTTCAGTATTAAGAAATGGCAAGGATCGAAACAGGAAGTTGGAAGTTCCTGAGGTTGCCAATGCTTTGCAGAGCATATAAAGTCAAATGCCAATGGAGCAGCCAGTATAAATTAAAATAACCATAATCCTAAATAGGATGAACGTATGGAAAATTAAACAAAAATGATCGGCGGCTATTGGATAGAATTAGAGACGAATCAGCTTAATTAGCCTTAAGTCAAATTGATAATCCACCGCAATTGTCTCAGGAAGATTTCATGCGAACAATAAACTTACAAGGCTGTCCTAGAACATGGAAGGATCCAACGCCGAGTGATTGAAGTAAAATAAAAGCTGTCCATAGAAGTTGTCTTCGCAACTTGGTCATATTGGTAGAAAGACTTAGAGGAACGCACCTAATCCGGAGTCCATTGTATTCATGATAACCTCCAGAGTAGGATCGTGGACGTGGTACATTCTCAGATGTTTCACCGGCATCGTCAGTGGGTCTTGTCATTCTTAGCACTTGTCAGAGACAAGTGAAGCTGATCATTTGACCAAACGTGTGCTAAATAGTTGTTGTATCTTCCCTTCTCTCCTGGGCTATTCATCTATCCTATATCCTCGTATCACACCTTCATCATTACAATTTTCTTGCTTATTTAAGCGCAGTATGATGTGCCCTTGTGAGAGGCTTTCATGAGAACTCTCCATACTTCACGCTGGCTTTCTCACATCTCTTAATCCTTGTTAGGAAATATTAATCAATCTGCCATATTGTTACAAAGTCTATCCTGTTTATATTCCTAATACCAAGTCTATGACTTCCTATGCTCTAGTCTCTCGCATGCCAACTCATAAATGTTGTGGATTAGGGATAGGAAAAGGATAGACGCGGCGGAAACTAGAACTAGTTGGCTGACAGTAGGCCTGTCTTGCCATGAAGCAAAGGCTTTACCGCGACAATGACTCAGGGGCTTTGGCCTCGAGTTAGTCTCCCAGACACACCAGATGGGGTGGCAGGGGTGGAGTGAAATACTTGAACTAGAGATAGCAGATGGATCTTACAGGGCAAGAGAGAGACTGATAAGACCTAGAGAAGGAAGACGGTGTAACAATATGGCAGTTTGAACAATATTCCCAGCACAAGGATGAGTAAGGGTGAGAATACCAGCGTGGAGTATCGAGTTCTCATAAAGGCCGTTCACAAAGGCACATCATACTGCACTTAAATAAACATGAAAAATTGTGATAGTGAAGGTGTTATATGAGGATATAGGAGATGAATAGCCCAGGACAGAAAAGAAGATACCACAACTATTTATCACACATTTAGTCTAGGGATCGGCTTAACTTGTTTCTTTGACGAGTTGTAGTGTGGTGCTAAGAATGGCAAGACCCACTGACGACCCTGGCGAAACGTCTGGGAGTGTACCACGTCCACGGCCCAACTCTGAAGATTATCATGCATACAATGGACTCCGGACTAGACGCGTTCCTTAAGTCTTCCTATGAATATGATCAAGTTGCGAAAATAAGGTCAAAGAACGTCTATAAAACGAAAGGAGACTGCGACCAAACAAAAGGTCATACTATATTGGTCTTCATACCTTCGATTAAAAGCTGTTCGGTTGCATTAGAATCCATTTCGCACATCGACATCTTCATCTTCAGGCATGTATAATAATAATGAAAAAGCCAACAAGAGAGTGGGCACCTAACTAAATTCGCATATCTAGGATGTGAGAAGAAGGAATGCAGCCAGCCACCATTCTCGGCATAATGTTTGGTGAATTTTAGTTAAGGGATGATTTTATGCTGACGATGACTGGTGTAGAACAAATAAAAATCAAGAAGAAGGTATGGGGATCATAGGATGGTGCGATTTACAGAGGCCAACTTACAAATCCCTTCTATCCAGCTTATCACAAAGAACAAAATCATTAAAGCAGTCCTTGGAACCTAGCTGTACTACATATTTGCAGATCATTAGTCATAAGCTTATCTAGAATGAATGAGTACTTAGTTCCATAAGCGAATTACTCGTATTAAAGCAACGCAGAACTTGAAATATATATTTCCTTCTTTGGCACAACCTTTTAAAATTACTTTCCATTTATTGAAGACTTTGAGGATGCCAAATTTACTAATGGATATATATATATATATAATTTTATAAGTGTTCACGCGTATATATATATATATATATATATATATAGGGAATCATGTATTTGTAAGATACCTATAAAAATAGTAAAGTAAGGCAAGTTATGCATCAATCAGTCTAAAATTGTACTAAGTTTCAGGATGAATTATTACCTGGTTCTATTTTCTCCCGAAATGTTAAGTGCCATTTTGTAATCCATGCGGCCATGACCCCTTGCCGCTCGGTACCGAGAGGACTTACGGCTCTGAACGGCCTCTTTATCTAAGCCAGCGTTGCCATCATCATCTAAAGTCAAATTTAGATGATAGGAGTTAAGTACAAATTTGTATTAATTTAATTTAATTCAATGAAAAGATAAAAGTATGCACTATAATTAGAAAATCCCATTTATGAAGAGTGAAAAATGATTAGATATGTAACAGTGACGCAAAGGCGATTTGTTATATGCTCATCAGGTATTTGTAGAGAAAAAAAGTGTAAGAATTAGTATTTTCTATAATGCAATTGTCGACCAAAGGCTGATCCTAAGACAACATTCAAAATCAGCCCTATAAAAATAATAAGGTAGTATTGGCATCCTATAAAAGTAGATGATTACTTTAATGTGCAAACATGACAACAAGCAATTAAAATCGAGATTTCGAAATATTGACAGATGAAGATGGTCATAATAATACCGACAGGATAACTTAAAATAAAATTTTCCTAAGATGAATGGAAAGGCATAGTTTCCAGCTTATCTAGAACATTATATGATATCAGCTTCGATGAAATAGCCAATCGTTTTGGCAAAGCATAACGAAGGAATACGGAAGTCTAAGTAATATATATTTGAGGCTATTCTAAATAAGAGTTGACTAAAGCCCAATATCAAATAAAAAGCAAGGAAATAAGTTGACACCATTCAATATTAGACAGATTAACATAATAACATAAAAGTCGCAGGTTTCCATTAGAAAGTACAAGAAATTTCAACTATAAGAGGGGCATGGAATTTAATTAAATTTTTATTATTATTCTTGGAAAGTAAAAAGATATGGATGAAGTAATGTATCCAACAAATTTATAAACACAACTAGATCTTAATGAAGTGAACGCCGTAAACATAAAGATGATAGAAGTTGTGTGCCAACCCACAGACGTTGTGGTTCAACATTGAACCTAATAAAAGCAAGCAGTATCACAATATTTGTGGGTTAGCACACAAGAGACTAAGGCATAGCAAGTCATAGACTTGGATAGAGACATAGACGAGGCGGCGATTGGAGACGTGGTCAATGTAGCAAAGGCATGACCATTAGTCAGAGGCTTTAGCCTCGAATTGGTCACCCAGACGCAGGGGTGGGCGAATAACGCCTCGAGTAGCAGAGATGGGGAGACAGGGGTCGAGTAAAATACGTGTACCAGGGAGATAACAGACGGATTCGACGGGGCAAAGGGGAGACTTTGATAGGACCCAGGGAAGGACTACGTAACAATATGACAGACCCTGGTCAGCATTGCCAGCACAAGGGTGAAGGGGTGTGGAGTGAAGGGTTTTCATGAATGCCGCTCAAAGGAGCACACCACACTACATTAAAAATAAGCAAGCTAAAAATTTTGACAGGGAAGGCATGATAGGACGATATAGGATTTGTGAATAGCCCAGGGCAGAAGGGGAGATATCACAACTGTTTAGCACACGTTTGGTCAAAGGATGGGCTT